TTAAAAGACTGGGGAACTATGGAAAAGGTGACATGCAAGCAAATGTGCTGCAGCTGTGTCTGACACACACACACACACACACACACACACACACACACACACCTGTTGTTGCTTTAAAACAACGCAGCAGACAGAGTATAGATGGTGCAGCAGCAGGCTCAATAGTTGAGAGGTAAGCAGAGTTACAAGTGGATGAATTTGATATAACTCAGCCTGGGTAAAGTGTTGCTCTTTTCCCATTTTTCGCCCGTTCCGAACACACAAAAACAGCAGAGAGAGAGCACAGAAAACACTTAACGAGGAATCTGTATTCTGGCTCATGCTCAGCGATAGTACCGAGGCAGGATGAATTAATATCAGGACAGAAAACTTGGTCCCCTGTCACCCAAGGCACAAAGCAGGCTCAAGCATATCAGGGTGCCCCAGCTGTGACCATGCAGTCTTATCATTTTAGAGCCATGTAACAATTTCCACACTTCCACTTTCTTCCAAGCCAACTGGCAAAGCAACTCAAATGCATCTTATCTTCAGTAATGTTTCTCCTTCTTCAGCTGCTGCGTTTAAGACATAGAAATAAATAAGTATGTTCTTTAAGGTCACATGGAGTCAATCTGTAAAGTTATTATTCTTTTCTTCACCCTGGGTTCACAGTTTCTTAAATAAAAAAATGTTTTCTTCTCTGGAAGACATGCAGAGAAGAAATAGCTCTATTTTGTCCACCAGTCAGGCAAAGGAAGGCTCTGACAAACATCTCATATTTACTCTGGACCACTTTAAAGCCCCTTATCATGGGACAAATCCAGACATATTAAAAGCCAAACCAACACATCCCCGTTATAAGGTTGAGTCTCTTTTGAATGGGCTCTGCCCTTTTGTGAGTCAGGGATTAGAGGCAGCATTTTTAATGAAGACAAGTAGGGATCTAAGCTGATCCTTTCCTCATTGCTCGAAAGGTCACAGATCAATAATTGCAATAAAAGTTGAGATAAATATGATCGTGCTCTTGGAGGTGATGTAATAATTTGTATTTAATCAACAGAAAAAGTCACCTGTGACCTGCTTAATCAGAAAGTTCATGGTGCTGTTTATTCTGAGTGATAAGGGTTAGGATAGTTTCTTCTTCTGGTCTTTAAACCACAGACTGGGTGTTCTGCGTTCACTAATGGAGGAGAATAGGAGTAATACTAAATTCATTTTCAGTACAGTTTCCAAAATTAGAGTCATAGCTCTGAACCATCTGTTTCCTTAGCTTCCAACAGTTGCAAATTTCTGGGATTCTTAAAGCTCTGTGCCATCTGTTTTCAAACATGCAGTTATTGAACCTGTCCTTTAAAAAACAAGTTTGGACACATCTCAGCCTAAAAATTACAGACCCATTTCTAAATTACCCTTAGTCTCTAAAATATTGGAAAAGGTTGTGGCAGAGCACCTGACAACTTTTCTGGAACTACACAACAGTTTTGAGGAATTCCAATATGGTTTTGGTAAGAAGCATTCAACAGAAACAGCTTTGCTTAAAGTTTCAGTGACGGCTGCAGACAACGGGGAATTCACAGTGTTAGTATTGTTAGATCTTTCTGCAGCTTTTGACACTGTTGATCACAACACCTTAATTAACAGACTTCGTGACTCGGTGGGGATCTCTGGAACTATTCTAGACTGGGTTAGATTGTACCAGCCTGTTCTGTGGGGTACTCCAAGGCTCTGTTTTGGGTTCACTGTTGTTTCTATTGTACATACACCCTCTTGGACAGATAATTGATTATTTTCATAATGTCTCTTATCATCTATATGCAGATGATATTCAGCTGTACTGCCGTTTTAAGGATTCTGATCTCTACAAACTGCTTGTCAGAAATTCTTGTAAACGGGAGCAACGGGCAGCGCGTGAATTTCATGAGCAATCCGCTTCGCAGCGCCTCGAAGCTGGTGTGTTCTGGGCATTACTCCACTTCCACTTTCAGTTTGAAAAATGCATCAAATGCTGTTGCCTGGCAGACCGAGAGGGAGGAGCCGCTAACAAATACACACACACAAGCTCACATCGACATTGTGACATCATAATGTACCGCTGGCATTATGTGTACCTCTAAGCCAACAGCGGTGGAAATTTTAAATTCAAATGTAGTACTGAGTTTTTACCTGAAGAAGGCGCAACACAGACAGTTTTAGGCAGAATATCAAAATTTTAACTAAGATGCACTAAAGTGCCAAATTATTGACTACATGTGTCTAGCACAGTTAGACATTCCTTTATATAGTTTATCCGCAAAAAAAAAAAAATTGATTTGGGGGTGACTTGCTCCTGAACATGGCTTCTTCTTCCTGAGTAAGTGAGGCAGCTTCGTAGGTAGAACCTCATCTGTGTTTGAACTGTTAAAGGGGAGTTTTCCTCTCCACTGTCGCTACATGCTTGCTTAGTAGAAGAAGAATCTTTTATATAGCACCTCTCAAGATAAAAATAGTGAAGTGCATCACAAGAACAAAAATAAATAAATTAAAAAATGTGGAAAAACATTATTGAAAAACATAAAAATTGGGAAAAATAAAACGTGATTAAAAATGAGAAGGAAGGGAAAAAGAAAATGAATAAGAAAAGGTAATCGGTGGATCCTGTGAAAGGCAGAAATCGGTAGAAAGAGCAGAATGAAGAGAAGGTAGTGATGAAAAATCAACTGAATCAACAGATTTCTGCTGCTTTTTAAAGGAGAAAACTGAGTCACTGATCTCAGGTTCAGGGGGAGACAGTTCCAGAGTCTGGGGGCCACAGCAGCAAAGGATCTGTCACCTTTGGTCTTTAGCCTGTTGCTGCACAACCAGTAGGCTTTGGTCACTGGACCTCAGGGACCTGCTGGGGGTGTAGGGACTGAGATCACCAATGTAAGATGGTGCTTGTCCATGTAAGGCCCTATAGACCAGAACCGGGATCTTCAAGTGAACCCTGAAGTTAACCGGCAGCCAGTGAGTACGGGGATTGCTGTCAAGTCACCAACTTGAAATCTGCTGGGTAGGACACTCTAACTGGCATAACGAACTGATCTCTGTGCAGTGATGAGGTGGTTTAGTTGTACTGTTTATTTCAAAAAGTGCCTTGAGATGACTTGCGATTGGGTGCTATATACATAAACAGAATTTGTGTGTTTAGCCATGAATCAACAAACACCTTCTCATCTGACACAATTTGTGTTTCCATTAAAAAAATAGCCAATAATCCAATAATAGCTAATTTAATCCCTGTAGGTGGCACCATTTTACCGTCAACATGAAGTCTAAAAGCAGGTCTTTGGAGACAATTTGTGCAATTAAAGGACTATTTATAGCATGTTACACTGCAGGTAAGTTGGTGTCTGGATTTTGTAGAGCAGGTAGCATCTGCAGTGATGCGGGCGTTGTACCGATCTGTCGTGGTGAAGAGAACTGAGTCAGAAGGCAAAGCTCTCGATTTATCGGTCGATCTACGTTCCTACCCTCACCTATAGCAATAAGCTTTGTGTAGTGACCGAAAGAACGAGATCACGGATACAAGCGGCAGAAATGAGTTTTCTCTGCAGAGTGGCTGGGCTCTGCCTTAGAGATAGGGTGAGAAGCTCGGTCATTCGGGAGGGGCTCGGAGTAGACCCGCTGCTCCTCCGCATCGAGAGGAGCCAGTTGAGGTGGCTCGGGCATCTGGTCAGGATGCCTCCTGGATGCCTCCTTGGTGAGGTTTCCCGGGCACGTCCAACCGGGAGGAGGCCTAAAGGGAGACCCAGGACACGTTGGAGGGACTATGTCGCTCACCTGGCCAGGGAACGCCTTGGGATTCCCCCAGAAGAGCTGGACCAAGTGGCTGGGGAGAGGGAAGTCTGGGCCTCTCGACTGCCCCCGCAACCTGAATCCGGATAAGCGGAAGAAGATGGATGGATGGAGGATGCATCAAAAGTTTGGACTCTTTGTAAATTCAAAAGCAGACAATAGCTGAAGACAGAAGGTGGCATCACATTTTATTTTTCCTTAATTAGAATAAAAATCTGCAGTTTGATTAATTATGGCATTAAATAACTATAACTGTATGTGTGGTAAGACAACTTCATCTGGTTTTATTTTGAAGTCAAATGAAATTCTTATACTGCCCCCTTCAGGGCAGTCCGAGTTAGACTAAAAAAGATCATTCTAGAGAAGCTTTGGTGTTGACATTGAGTAGATTGAGTGAATTGAAGAGTAGGATTTTTCCTTGATGTTGCTTTACGGCGTGAGTGCATGAAGACAAGTCCTCTAGAGCAAGAAGTTATATTCAGAAGGACGAAATAGGCCAATCCAAGGGCTTACCATGTGTCTGCACAGTAAAAAGCTGAAAGTTGGCCATGACATATTTAATCTGTGAGGCTTTAAACTGCGCTTGGCTCTTTTCAGACTCCGTACCTGATTTTTCTTCTCAAAGCTTTGTATATAAAATCTTTATGCCACAAGAGAGCCAAGAAAAATCCAAAAAAGGAACCTAAGAAACTGAGATGCTTGCCTGCAGGGGCTGCTTGTGCTTTACCTCCAGAATACAAAACTGAGCATTTCTCGGCTCCGTTTACTTATATTGCCGGAATCGAGCTCATTTCCACCGGGGAAATAAGGACTACCTCTGACCTAGCAGTTTTAAAAGCAACCGAGAGCTGTAAACTAAACAATCAGGTGTATGCTCTCATATACGAATATTCGATCAGTGTCTGTAAAACTATGACACGGCAGAATGTTTTAGGCCAAAAAAATCCCATCAAAGGATAATCAAATGTAATGCATGCACATCAAATAAAAAATGCATGATAAATTGGCTTGGAAGGACTCAAAGAAGGCCGGGTCCTCTGAACCTTAACACAAAAGCTCATTGAAATTCCTTTCATTATGACTGTGGCACTACAGTGGAAAAAAAAGATGAGAAATGATTTCTGATAGCAGAGGCAGGAGAGGCTTTGCATCATAGACATATAATTATGCAACGTAAACGATGGGACAATAACACACACACGCAGGAGAAGCATTTAGTCATTTATTTACAATCTCGTCCAGTATTACGTCTAATCTTACCATGAAAAATGCTGTCCAAGCAGATGTTTTGTCTTTTAAATATGTTGTTTCAGCTAAAAATGGTATTTACTTCTCAGCTACAAATGCAAAGCCCCATAGATATGACAATAATACGTTTTATTTAAAGTTGTGTTAACACCACAAGACTCCGAGGGAAAAGAAAAGCAAGTTCCTGCAAGGTCCTATCACAGTAACTAAAGCATCGGTCTAAATGGAAAACAAAGATTTTTCCGCAGAAATCTGGCAGAGGTTTTAGTTTTTGTGTAGTTTATTGGCTAAAATGTTTAAAATGCAGACCTCCTGCACATTTTTTTGCAGTTTTAGTATTTGACACATTGTAGAGACACAAGAAGATAACATGTTTGAAATAGTTTTCCATTAACACCCTGTAATACCGAATACAATCCTCATTAGTGAGTTAAATGGGGTTCCTTAGAGGCCTCTAACCAGGGATCATGGTCATCTGCAATGGCTTCACTGTTCACTTTAAAGTTCATGGGTTGTTGTCACAAGTGGTCTCCTCGTCAATCTGCTGGAGCACGCTCACGTCAGATTGATGTTGGCTGGCCACCTAAAAGACAGCAGCGGTTAAATCAAACTCCACCCCCACCCCCCACCCCCCACCCCCAGCTGGATACTCACTTTTGAACCGCACGTAGCAAGAGTTGCAGTAGAGCTGTTTGTTTCGTATTCTGACTTCAGCCCCGGCTTTGGAACCGCCGAGGTCGCACTTACAGTCGATACACTGTGTGGATTTAAAGAAAAGAGGGTTAAAGAGACACACACCTGGGTAAAGTGCATAGTGTCCACAGGAGGAGTGATGAAGATAGAAACCAAAAACCTTTTGATTGTGCAAAAGGAAAACAGACAGGATGCATGAGATCTGATCACAACCTGAAGGAAACATTTTAAGCAGAGTAGCTGCAAAGGAATCAAGGCCTTCCCCGTGTTAGCAGAACAGGAAGAAGAAAGGTGGGTCGATCAGGTTAGTGTCCGAGGATCAGCCTACAGGTGCCTCCGACGGGCGGCCCACTCTCACCTTAAAACAGCCCAAATGATAACAGAGCCCGAGGGACTCGATGATCATGGCCGCTCCCTTTCCCAGCGGGGTGTCACAGAACGTACAGATTTTCTTGCCACTCACTGACCTGGATTACAAAACGTACAGCTGTGATTGACAGCTATGCACACGCGATCGGTGCGTGTGTGACCGCGCGCATGCACAGATCATAGAGACTTAACTCAGACTTTTTCCAGTTAATATCTGTGACAATTGCTAGCCTGTTATGCTCATGTTGGTGCAGACACTTTTATATAAACACAAGGCAACTTCCAGGAAGGTGTGATAGTGAACACTGATCAACATCAACACAAAAACATAGAAATGATGAAAGGACTAGGTTGCTTCGGGACTGCTTAACAATCACTGCCTTTCATGCAAGAGCTTTAAACTGAGAAGGGATTTCCTGACCAAGATTCTGGTCCTCCATAGGAATTCAAGTCATTTAGATAGGAGTACCTGCAGATAAAACATCTCAAAATAACATTTTATTATTATTATTATTATTTTATATTGAATATTACAGACTATAAGAACAATAAAATAACAAGTTAATGCGAGGTTCTATTGAGGATCACAGTGAGGGAGTTTATCTACACAGATCTATTCTTCAAACAGATGTCTTATTATAATTACCAGTCTGTTTAATACATATGGCTCTGGGCAGACATACGTAGACACCTTGTGGATTGACACCGTTTATTGGAGCTGGCATAAAAACAGGCTGCCATCTTGGACGGGTCTCCATTTACTCCCAGTGCATTCATTTCTTCTGAGGAAGGTGCATACCCAGATAAAAACACATTTTACTATGCTTTTTCACAAAGTCAGACACATAGAATGGCACGATAATTACAATATAGATGTAATTAACCCGGCGGTCTGATCCTCGGCTACAGAAGCCTGGCTCTTGGCACATAGAATGTCACCTCTCTGGTGGGGAAGGTGCCTGAGTTGGTGTGTGAGGTTGAGAGATTCCGACTAGATTTAATCGGACTCACCTCAACGCATGGCTCTGGCTCTGGAACCGGTTTCCTTGAGAGGGGTTGGACTTTCTACCACTCTGGAGTTGCTCCCACTGAGAGGCGCCGAGCAGGGGTGGGCATACTAGTTGCCCCCCATCTTGGTGCCTGTACGTTGGGGTTTACCCCAGTGAATGAGAGGGTAGCCTCTCTCCGCCTACGTATGGGGGGACGGGTTCTGACTGTGGTCTGTGCTTATGCACCAAACTACAGTTAAGATTACCCCCCCTTTTTGAAGACCTTGGAGGGGGTGCTGGAAAGCGCTCCTTCTGGTGACTCCCTCGTTCTGCTGGGGGACTTGAACGCTCACGTGGGCAACAACAGTGAGACCTGGAGAGGTGTGGTTGGGAGGAACGGCCCCCCTGATCTGAATTCGAGTGGTGTTTTGTTATTGGACTTCTGTGCCAGCCATGGATTGTCCATAATGAACACCATGTTCAGACATAAAGGTGTCCATATGTGCTCTTGGAACCAGGATACCTTAGGCCGCAGCTTGATGATCGACTTTGTTGTTGTTTCATCTGACCTGCGGCCGCATGTCTTGGGCACTCGGGTGAAGAGAGGGGCGGAGCTGTCAACTGACCACTACCTGGTGGTGAGTTGGCTCAGATGGTGGGGGAGGATGCCAGTCAGACCAGGCAGGCCCAAACGTATCACAAGGGTCTGCTGGGAACGTCTGGCAGAGTCTCCTGTCAGAAGGAGATTCAATTCCCACCTCCGACAGAATTTCCGAAATGTTCCGGGGGAGCCAGGGGACAACGAGTCTGAATGGACCCTGTTCCGTGCCTCCATTATTGAGGCGGCCGACCGGAGCTGTGGTCGCAGGATTGTCAGTGCCTGTCGTGGTGGCAACCCCTGAACCCGCTGGGGTTACTATGGTAGAGGTAAAGGTAGAACCAGGTTAGGGATGCTGTCAAGCTGAAGAAAGAGTCCTATCAGCTCTTTTTGGCTTGTGGGACTCCAGAGGCAGCTGATGGGTACCGGCAGTCCAAGAGGAACGCGGCTCAGGTGGTCGCCAAGGCAAAAACCCGGGCATGGGAGGAATTCGGTGAGACCATGGAGCAAGACTTCTGTACAGCTTTGAGGAGATTCTGGTCCACCATCCGGCGCCTCAGGGGAGGAAAGGAGTGCGCTACCAACACTATCTATAGTGGGGACGGTGTGCTGCTGACCTCTACTCAGGACGTTGTGGATCGGTGGGCAGAATACTTCGAAGACCTCCTCAATCCCACCGTCACATCTTCCAGTGAGGCAGCAGAGTCTGGGGACTTTGGGATGGCTTCTCAAATCTCTGGTGCTGAGGTCACTGAGGTGGTTAAAAAGCTCCTCTGTGGCAAGGCTCCAGGGCTGGATGAGATCCACCCGGAGTTCCATAAGGCTCTGGATGTTGTGGGGCTGTGTTGGCTGACGCGGCTCTGAAATTTCGCGTGGATATCGGGGGCAGTCCCACTGGACTAGCAGACCGGGGTGGTGGTCCCCTTATTTAAAAAGGGGGACCACAGGGTGTGTTCCATCTACAGGGGGATCACACTCCTGAGCCTTCCTGGTAAGGTCTATTCAGGGGTTCTGGAGAGGAGGGTCCGTTGGATTGTTGAACCTCAGATTCAGGAGGACCAATGTGGTTTTCATCCTGGTTGTGGAACACTGCACCAGCTCTATACCCTTAGGGGATCATGGAGGGTGCGTGGGAATTTGCCCAACTAGTCTACATGTGTTTTGTAGATTTGGAGAAGGTGTTTGACCGCGTCCCTCGGGGGGCCCTGTGGGGGGTACTCCGGGAGTATGGGGTACCAGGCCCTCTGATTTGGACTGTTAGGTCCCTGTATGACCGGTGTCAGAGCTTGGTCGGCATTGCCAGCAGTAAGTCGGCCTCGCTCCCAGTGAGAGTTGGACTCCACCAAGGCTACCCTTTGTCACAGATTCTGTTCATAACTTTTGTGGACAGGATTTCTAGGCGCAGTCAAGGTGTGGAGGGCATCTGTTTTGGTGGCCTGAGGATCAGGTCTCTGCTTTTTGCAGATGATGTGGTCCTGTTGGCTTCATCAGAACATGATCTTCAGCTTTCGCTGGAGCGGTTGACAGCCGAGTGTGAAGCAGCTGGGATGAGAATCAGCTCCTCTAAATCTGAGACCATGGTCTTGATTCAGAAAAGGGTAGAATGCCTTCGGGTCAGGGATGAGGTCCTGCCCCAAGTGGAGGAGTTTAAGTATCTCAGGGTCTTGTTCACGAGTGAGGGAAAACTGGAGCGTGAGATCGGTAGGCGGATTGGTGCTGCATCTGCAGTGATGCGGGCGTTGTACCAGTCTGTCGTGGTGAAGAGAGAGCTCAGTCAGAAGGAAAAGCTCTCGATTTACCGGTCGATCTACGTTCCTACCCTCACCTATGGTCAACAACTTTGGGTAGTGACCGAAAGAACGAGATCGCAGATACAAGCGGCCGAAATGAGTTTTCTCTGGAGTGGCTGGGCTCTCCCTTAGAGATAGAGTGAGAAGCTTGGTCATCCGGGAGGGGCTCGGAGTAGACCCGCTGCTCCTCCACATCGAGAGGAGCCAGTTGAGGTGGCTCTGGCATCTGGTCAGGATGCCTCCTGGACGCCTCCCTGGTGAGGTTTTCCGGGCACGTCCAACCGAAAGGAGACCTAAAGGCAGACCCAGGACACGGTGGAGGGACTATGTCTCTCACCTGGCCAGGGAACACCTTGGGATTCCCCCAGAGGAGCTGGCCCAAGTGGCTGGGGAGAGGGAAGTCTGGGCCTCTCGCCTTAGGCTACTGCCCCCACGACCCGACTCGGGATAAGCGGATGAAAATGGATGGATGGATGGATGTAATTAACTCTCCCACTATCTTTATGAGTGACCCCGCGAGGAAAGTTGACCATTGAGCAGGATTGATGGTTTATCCCTTGAGGTCCACCTGGCAGGGGTGAGGTGTTGCTCACTCCTCACCCCTGCCACATGGACCCAACCTGCTCAACGGCCAATTTTCCTCACGGGGTCACAGCATTCAGGACAGTGGGAGGGTTAAGCAAAAATAAATCAAAATATAATATCCCAACAGGTAGGCTAGAGAAGTCAATAGTAATCCCACATGATCTGTTTTCAATAGTGCGCCGGTTGTTGCAACCGCAGGCTGCATAAAAAACAGGAACAGCTGCTCACTCTGCATCGACTCTAGTTGGGTTTGAAGAGTAAGGAACCCATCCAAAATGGTGGGAACGCTCTCCAGCACCCAATGGGGAGTCTACGTATTCATGTCAAGAGTTCTGGGCAACAGTTGTTGCTTTTGAACGCTCTATAATGACTAGGATCTACAAACACCAGCAGCTGACTGTTTATAAATGACATTTGAAAATGCTTTTACAAATGTAACTGAAACCAGAGAAAGTTCATAGGCAGCTCAATGCATTGCTTTGATCATTTATCTTTTGACGGATTATATCTATCTCACACACACACACACACACACACACACACACACACACACACACACACACACACACACACACGTAAAACCATCAACAGCAGATCAAGAATCAGACTCTGGAGCTGATCACACACTGATCACTAACATATGCTGTGCAGGAGAACCGGATCTGAAATGAGCGCAGGACGCACCTAAAGGTCATTTAAGGTCAAGACAATATTGCTAGTCAAACCTTAAAATTTACATTAAACATTACAAGTTAAAATAATAAAACTCCATCCTTTGATCCATGAGAAGGAAATTCTCTGGACAAACATGCACACAGAAATAAAAACATCACACAGAGATCTAAGAAGCCCTTTACAACCCAGCTGGTTATTAGCAGCTTGTTAGGAGGCTTAAGCAAAAGCTGTTTAGTTCCTTTTACCTGCTCTGCTGCTGAGGAGCACCTGCCTCGCTTATGGGGTCCGGAGAGGTGATGGGGGGTGGAGTAGAGAGGGAGGGGCTTGGCTGGGACCAAGGGGACGAGTTGGTTCCTGTCCAACCTCGGAGGGAGCCTGTGGAATGGGAGGAGGGAAGAGTGGAGGAGACGGGCCGCGGGGCTCCTGACCCGCCCGTGTAAAAGGAAGTGTTGCTATAGAGAGCTGACTGAGGTCGAGAGTAGTTCTGGGCAAAAGAGCTGCTCCTGGGGGTCCGAGACGACGAGTGCCAGGAGTTGGAGGAAGCATCTAGGTTGTCGAGAGATTCACCTCTGCAAAGCACCCACACCCACGTTGGATTGTTAGTCAGAGTATTCAAACCGTCCGGCTTCCCACCTGCCCAAATCTGCGGGTGTCAGTTTGGTAGCTGGAGTGTTGAATGGTTTAGTTTTTACACCCAGAATATTAGTAGTCAAGTTAACCAACACACCACTTCAGAGATGGGGGTCATTTACCTGCGCATTGGTGGCACGTCGCTGTCCTTACTGTTCACCGTGCTGGCGGAGCGCTGGCGGATCCAGCTACCGTCTGTAAGCAGCGGCGTCTTCTTCTTCATCTCGTTGAGGATCTGCTGCCGATCCGCCTCAGCCTGTGAGGAGGGCAGCTGGGCCTTCTTCTCTGTGACTCCAGCCCCTGTCACTGCTTCCACAGAGGGGAGAATCAGAATAACGGCTCTAAGTAAGAATAAAAGGAACCGCATCGAGAAGAAAAAACAATTGTAGCGTTTGGGCAACCCAAACTAAAATCAAATCATTCATTGATCCAAGAGGAAGCTCGCTGCAATCACTGGGGAATTGTTTGTTTCACAGAGAGACGGCTGATTTGTTTCTTTTTTGGTTGGTCAGCTCCAAGTCAAGCGGCTGCACATTTTGATTTAGTGAAATGACAGTCTGATCTGCTGATCATCAGGGATCCAGATTAAAAAGCAGAGTGTCTTCGGAGGCGAAGCCCACCTCGCTTTGACTCATTTCTCATCTCCCACTCCATAACAATCCTCAGACTTTGAGCCTGTCTGTCACGTGCAATCCTCAGCTTCTCCCTCTGCAACCACTGAGTCGCACCCTCTGGCTGCTCGTGTGCACCTACAGCAGGGCACAGCCTGGAGCGTGGAGTATGTGCAACAACAGGAAGACAGTACTGGACACTAAATCAAGAACACTGACCTCCCTGCTGAGGTTTGTCCTCTTCATCGAGCTGAGGAGATGACTGGGATCTCGCCCTAATAAAGAAACAAACATACCAACAAAAAGCTTATAAAGTCATGAAAGGCACAAGGCAAACATTCATTTAATCACAGCTAAAATGACTGCATGTATTTTTCTGTATGAAACCCATTATTGAGCCTACAGAGGAAATTCTCATACAAATCTATTAATATACATTAAAGGGATTTAATTGTAGCTATTTTGAAAAGTGTTTCTGTGTAAAATGACACATATTTACTTTCATATCCTGTGTAAACAGCTGAAAAGGCTTTGTTTGGTGAAATTGAGTTCTACAGGACTGGGATAGGTCCGAACACAACCAAGAACAGAGGATCTTGCAAAAACACTTCATGCGAAGAATTTACAAACTTCTACCATCCATCTTGTGCTATTTCAATAGAAATAATAAACTCCTTCACTCTGCTGGCCACCTAGGTGCGTGCTCATGAATGAGAGGAGCTGCTTCCAGTCGTAATCATGGAACGCAGAAGTTGCAATGCATTTCTCTGCCTCTAGATGGTGCCCTCTGATGTGTATGCTTGTAAGTAACCCTGTAAATCAGTGTAAATGTATCTAGGATAAGATACACAAACAGTTATATCAAACAAGAGACTGGAGGTGTTGAGGTAAGGTCGAACTAGCTGTTAGCTCATCAGTCCTGTCAGATGCAAACTCCATTTCTCCAAACTGAGGCCAATCAGGAAGCAATTAGCAATGGTTCACTTTAGAAACACACTTCAGAATGGCTCCAAATAACTCATTTTCTGACGGGTTATGCATTAAACATGTTCACGGCCAGGTGCTGATGTTAGATTATGAGACAAACACGCATGATGCAGGAACAGGTGACTCATATGATGAGGTAACACTGGTAGTGACTGCATTTAGACAAACATGTCTGTCCTCTCATGCACTGACCTGTCTGTAAAGGACAGAGGATGCTGAACGCTATCGAAGCCGTGGGAGGTGCCAGACCTTTGTTGCAGAGCAGAGTGAACACAGGTGGGCCGGTTAGAGCAGGAGGTTAAAGCACATTCAGATGTATTAGTGGCACTCATGTTAATGTAAGCAGTAAAGCCTGTTAAGTGTGTGATTATCAGTATGATGGTCACACGTGTGTGTACAGGAGGAGCAGAGGCTCTACTGACCACTGCTGCTCCAGGAATCTCGCTCTTCGCTGCTGCTCAACAGCTTCCTGTCGCCTCCTCTCCTCCTCCCTCTCTTCCTCTCTCCTCCTTTGCCATCTCAACTCCTCCTCCTCTTTTCTCATCCTTTCCTCTTCCTCCTGCATCTCTTTCCTCCTTCTTTCCTCCTGGAGTCGCTGCAGCTCTCGCTCCTCCTCTTCCCTCTTTCTCCTCTCCTGCTCCTGCCTTTGACGCTCCTCCTCCAACTTCCCTTTTTGCTCTTCTTCCTCCCACAGAGGTGTGGGCCGGTGAGCTGAAGATGGGGGCGAGCGTGGGCGGATACTGTGGCTGTTCACCTGGAGACTCCCTGGCTGCTAGTGAGGAAGGTGAACAGAAAAGAGGTAGCATGATGTGATTGAGCAGCTCCACTTTGCCAACATCTAGGAGGAACATTAGCCAAATAGAAAACTCCTTAAATCTACACATAAATCTCAGTTTTTACCTGATAAAGCCCTGCTTTAAAAAAGTCACAATCAAGATTGCATGGCAACATAATCACTGTATAATTATACGATTTAAATTCATCAAAGCTCTTTGGATACATCTGGATGAATCTGGGTCATAATGAGTCACAACTAAGTTCCACTTTTTTGTATTTTTCAGACAAGATTTCAGGCATAAGGACCATATCTACAGCCAGAGGCGGTTTTACCATTAGGCATAGGTCGGCGGCCGCCTGGGGCCCCCTTGTGTTGGGGGCCCCATAGCCCTGACCGCCGGCACCCCTCTGTTAATGCCACAATATTCTTATTACCAGCCTGTCACCGCAGACAGGATTGAACATGCGCACTTCTCATTACCATAATTCCTGAACCGTTCAAGATATCATTAAAATTCTAAAAGTGCTGAAAAGATTAAAAATGGGGCTTTTCGTGCATATACAATACATTACGGTAGCCACCGGGATTCCCTGTCTTGAGCGCAACGAGTCACAACACAGATTCAGAGATGTGCTGAGTTTGTCATCCAAAATGCTTTGTTTTATAACTTTTGAACGGCTGATCAGATCCAAATAATTCCAACGGTTCCTAAAAGTACATAACAGCAGCTTTCCAACGATCTATAGCATGAAGCAATCAGAGTTAGGGAAAATATCGCTACGAGGGGAAATCCTGCTGTACAGCCTGATTGAAACGGAGCGCAGCACCGCGGTGAAAGCGTATAACTGAACGGGGAAGCTAATCAGCATAAAAACCAGCATGAAATTATGGAAATGCCTCAAAGAAAATCAACACGATCTACTAGGTGTCCCAGAAGGCTTATATCTGAAGACGGTGACCACGAAGAAGGACAGATCTCCAGTGAACCAGGGTATGACCGTTTGTTCAGTCTTTATTTTTTTATTTGAACAACCCTCAACTATTTGGTAATTGTAAGATTCAGCTTCATTCCAGCATTATTTATCTTTTTACAATAAATAATTATTTTTGCTAAAACAAAAGCTTTTGGTATAGCAGTGCACGGTGTGCAAGAGAAGCACCCCATGGCAGTGTGAGGTGTGCAGGACTCTGCCTGCAGCTGGAGAGAAACTGCTTCAAGGACTACCACATCAAATAAAAACGTCTGAAAGTTTACAAAAATAAATAGTCTTAAAAACAGCTAAAAATGATACCAAAGTTCACATTTTTTTTAAGAATAGATGCATTACAGTTCAAAGTTTAAATTGTTTGCCCAGTAATTTTGAAGTTCCTGTTCAGTAATAAATGTAAAAAATTCAAATCCGTTTTTTGCTTTTTTCACTTTTAAGCTGATTTTTTAAAGGCTGTAATAGAAATAAATTCTAAATACAAACCATACACTAAAAGCTGAGGTTGTTCTGAAAAAAGGAGGAGTTACACACACTTTGCACTTTTTATTACAATTTTACAGCCATAAGATTAAAAAACTGTTATAATTATGGTCATAAGAGGGTTATTAATAGCCTGGCAAGCCAGACTAAATAAATATATTATTTAGTCTGGCAACGCTCCATTGACGGCTCTCGGTTGTGGGGCGGGTTCTACCGTTGTCTTTCAAATGATCTCCGCATTCCACTGGACAATGAATGTGACATACTCTTGTTTCACTCTGTTGCATCATCCCACCCACCAGACATATAGAGTGACCTGATTGGTCCACAAAGCGGATAAAGCGCTGTGATTTGTTCACTAAGTAGATAGAGCACTATGATTGGGCCACCATTATGGACCAATCACAGCTCTTTATGTGTTTGAAACCCCTCTAGAGAGCTGTGATTGGCTAGCCAGAGTCCTGGCAGGAGCTGTGGAGGTTCCAATGGAGCATGCCTAGACCATTCTTTGCAAAGCAAGAATTTGGTCTAGTTCACTAGGCTAGGTTATTAAGACTGTGATGCACAAACAGGAAGGGATTGGTAGTCATTCCACTCCAATCCAGTTGGTGGCGGTAATGCACCAAATTGTTGTTTGCCAAGTGCCATAAGACCACAAATAAGAAGAAGACGAGAGGTGGCAGCATTCGTAACAAACTCAAAGCGATTGTCAAAACATAAAGCATGAAATGGAGTTATCCTAGTGGCTCCAATAAGAGAAAGAAGCAGCTTGCTTCATAAAAGCTTTTATTTTCACTTCTGAAAGTGACGTCGTTTCTCGATGTAAACATCAATAGGAAGCAGAAAGGAAAGACAATGGAAAATGTTTCAAGGGAGGAAAACATAGACCAAAATGGAAAAAAAACAAAACACAGGAGCACTGACAGGAAGAAGAAAGCAGAGCAAATAAGGCACTCAAAGGGAAAGAAAGACAGGAAAAAAGAGGAGGACTAATAAAAAGGGAAAATAACTCATGTCAGAAGAGGGGTGAGTTTCGCAAATCCAGTTAAAGGTAAGATTGTCGAAAATTTAGTGGAAGGGGCCCCATGTCTGTGTTCGCCTTGGGCCCCCAAACTGCTAAATCCGCCCCTGTCTACAGCCCATTTAAATACTTTCATTACCTCTTGTTGGCCCACGCTGGTTGATATCTCCTGCTGAGCCTTGAGCCACTCCTCCTGCAGCTTCTCCTGGTCACGCCTGTATTTTTCCTGAGAGTGGATGCACGTTAAATGTCACTTTGCTCGATGCACACGGTGCCGTCCATTGTTTAATCAGACAAAAATGCATCTAAGTTACACATTTTTTCTCTAAGATGAAACACTTAATAACTTTAAAGCTTTGTGGATTTTACCTGTATTGTTTGGAACCAACTACATGTGAACGTATTATTCTGAAACAAACTGTTTATGTTGCCAGAGAGACATCTTGTTTATTCAGGACAAAAAATAAATAAAAGCTTGATGCATCAGCGCTCTGCAGAGCTAACTTTGATCTGAATCCAGAAATAAAATCCAAGTTTCACAAACCAAGTATTATTCATACTGGACGTGAGACTTGAGATGACTGAACTCTTCTCTGATTTGCTGAAAAGTCTCCATAGTGAATCTTTAGTCACTGATAAATTAACAAAGACGTACAAACAGCGAACTGAGTGCAATGCAAGATGTTTAGAAACAACCTGCTTTCTTACTACCTGTAGGAGGCGCTCTTGTTCCTTTTGCCACTTCTCTTGTCTTCTGCGCTCTTCTTCTGGGTCCCAAGACCAGCGGCTGGAGGATGGAGTGATGACAGGAACAGGTATCTGGGTGGGAGAATACGATAAAATCAGTTGCATAGCTCAGTTTGTACATTTCCTGCAGCAACAAACAAAACCTGCAGATTATTTCAGTCAGGTCTTAATATTACTGACTCATCAGAAAGGCCGCATATAAAAACAAGGATGCATGATAAATATCTCAATCCTGATGCTGAGCTCTGAGGGCAAGCAACAAAGACAATTAGACTGGATTGAAGTGGATTATTAGTTTTTCTGTCGCCAATACCGATATGCAGAGGTCATGGTCAGCAAATGACCGATATGTGCTGCAGATTTTCAGGGCCTCATCTAGACTTTTCCACCTTACTTGCATGCTAAATGTCACAAATATCAGTTGATACACACAATTTCTGAAGCCGAATCCGTTTTTGAACATTGAATTTAACAAACTCTTAAATTAGATATCTTCCTAAAAGTGATCAAACAAACTGACCAAATATTAAATATTAAAAAAAAAAACCTGGCTAAATAAAAAGAAATTTTTGTTGAAATTAATTTATTAATTATTTATTCAGGAACATAAATATATGTTTAAATTCTGCAGCAGCACCGAGCTGCCTGGGGATGTGCCTGGCATTAAATCAGCTTTACTGAAGAGGTATATCAGCCGATGTCTATATGTAAAAATTAAAAAAAATCAGCCGAGGAGTATGTCAGTCTACTCCTGTACTCTGGATTTAATTAAAAATAAAGCCTCAGAAAAGCAGACCTAAAAATAAAACAACATATGCTGCGCATTTAAACTGTTCATTCAGCCTTATTGATAAACCTTTACACCGGCATCATATTAACACTTCAAACTATCTGAAATGTCCCTTTAACCTCGTGAAACACATGCAAAGACAGGAGCAAACGCTGGGATGGTGCATCGTTTTTAAAGCTTTATTTAATCTTAAATTTTGAAAAACATGCTTTCAATCAGCTATGACCTCTGTGAGAGCTAAATCGTTGGGTCTGGGTGTTGTAATGATTACATCATGTTGTCATGGTAAAGAGGCAAATGTTCGAAAGACAAGAGTGACTTGTCTGTACTCACATCTGGCACCGTGGACTCTGATCCTCCTGGGAAAGAAACATCCAGTCAGTACCTGAGGTATGCACAAGAAGAACTCCACACGTTTGCCCCAGAGCTACAGACTATATAAACATTAACGTAACCTCAAGTCAGTTGATGAATCATTTTTTTAATTAAGTGTCAAATCGTAACAGTAACTGATGTTTTCTGCAAGCTTCATGACAAAACTTCCTTCAGGAGTTATTGATTCTCTCCATACTAGATTATAAACATGTTGACATTTACGGCCGATGTAATCCCAATCCCTCTTAGAGGGGAATCCACACATTTGATTGTGAAAACAAGATTGAGCTGAAATCAGACGCATGCATGCAGTAATGACACGAGCATGGAGCAGCCAGTCTGAAACAGGGGCTCTGGTGCATCCACCCCCAGGTAAGCCTTTAGCTTCAGCAAAGAGAAAAGTGTGTCAAGCTTCATTCAATATCACCGCAAAAGCAGGAGGATTCAGACGCTTTGCTTTTGCAGCTGGTAAACTGGAATAATGTCACTCTGCGTCAGACCAGATTTTTTTTTAAATGTTTGTTTTCAGATAACTAGATTGATTTAGATTCGGCAGCATGTCAGAATCCCAGGTTTTACCAGAGGTGAGAAGGTCACTGCGAACATAACCCCGTTTACCACAGAGGAAGACCAGTGCACTGACACTGGACCCTGAGTCGCCTGAGGGAGGGAAGGGGGACATCACATGGGTCAAGCTTCACCACTTAGGCTTTTGAGAATTGAACAGTGCTTTTTCTACACTGCAATATTATGTTGAAATTAGTTGTGTGTGTGTGTGTGTGTGTGTGTGTGTGTGTGTGTGTGTGTGTGTGTGTGTGTGTGTGTGTGTGTGTGTGTGTGTATGGTCATGTATGAATGATGTGCACAATATATGCATATATATCAAATGTAATGACTGTATGAGATGCGACCCCAGGAAGAATAGCGGCTGTATGTCAGCAGCTAATGGGGATCTTAATAAACAAACAAACAAACCACCAGAACCGAACAAGACAAAAAACAAAGACAAATGGACCTAGAGAGGAATTCTGACAACTTGCAACCAACTGAATGGAACACAAAGCTGTAAATAACAAGGAAACATGCAGCTCCTACTGAGAAACACAGAAAAGAGCACATAGAAACCAGCCACCAGAGTACACACAAGTCAGAGCCACCCACAACCCATCACTCTTTCTTTTTTACCTTGCTCAAAAAACTCTGACCTCCGTTTTAAGTTTTTCAAAGACATTGGTTCTGATTCTACATGAGAAAATGGAAAAACAAGATCAAATAAGACAAGAGAAAGGATTCTTTTATCACCACATCAACATAAGTAACAGCAACAGTCACCTCTATGCTTACTACCATCAGGAGGATTCATTTCTTACATACCTTGTGTCCCAGTCAACAAACTGACCAGAAATAATCTGACCTTTCTGTCTGCTCTTTACCTTTGTTCCTCATGGTCACTGATTCCTCTTGGAGATTGCCATTAACTCTGTTTGAAGCCACATCCTGCAGAGAAACGTCACAGGGTGTAAACTCATTAAACAGTCCTCTAACCAGTGATAATACTGGAACAATAATAAAAAGGACCTTACCACCAGTAGAGGAGTGGGAGCATCCTTGGCTGGTCCAGTTTCTGTGAAACTGAGTGAGGTGAAGTCCAGGCTGGAACTGACGGTCTTCGTTTCAGGGGTACCTAGAAGTATCGGATGATCCGTACTGGTCAGATTGATGGTCTTATGGCTTTTAAATGGCAGGGAAGGCTGATCTCTGTCCCAGTCTGCATGCAGTCAATGCAACAGGCAACAACAGAAAAAAAAGATTGTGCAATTGCACATAAATGCATGTTTTGTGAATGTTTATGTCAGCCCCAATACTTCCACACACTAAGCAAGGGGTGGGGGTGCCAAGGTGTTATTGTAGAGAGCAGCAGGGGTGACAGAGAAACCTTCCCCAGCCATGCAGCCCGTTAAAAGCTTCGTAAACCCAAAACCTCTAGACCTTCCTAAGCTGTTAAGGAGTCCAGATAAGCCCCGACTGTGCCTTCACTTTCTAAGGAAACACTGAACAACATGGACCTGAGCAGGTTAGCTCTCCAAGAAATGAAAAATAAGGTAAAACCAGCAAATTTAAAAAATGACCAGTGAAAACAAAAAGAAAGCACAAGAGGAAATCAATCCCCCCTCCCCCCCCCACCCCCATATGCGCGCACGCGCACACACACACAGAGAGACAGAGACAGAGAGAGAGAGAGAGAGGGACAGAGACAGAGACAGAGAGAGAGAGAGACAGAGAGAGAGAGAGACAGAGAGAGAGAGAGAGACAGAGAGAGAGAGAGAGAGAGAGAGAGACAGAGACAGAGACAGAGACAGAGAAAGAGAGAGACAGAGACAGAGAGAGACAGAGAGAGAGAGAGAGACAGAGACAGAGAGAGAGAGAGAGAGAGAGACAGAGACAGAGACAGAGAGAGAGAGAGACAGAGACAGAGACAGAGACAGAGACAGAGAGAGAGAGAGAGGTCAGAACAACACCGGTCATCCCCTTGCCAGGCCAGTAAGGACAAATCCATCACTCAGCTGTCATGAGATCATTCATGGATGACTTCACAATAGTTTACGGACCAATTTAGGATGCCACAACTGTTTAGTAATGCACAGAGCTTAAGCAGCATTGTCAGTGCAGGAATGTTACCCTTAAACATTTCATTCACTTTCAATAAACACACAGGTATGCAGCAGCGCGCGCGCGCACACACACACACACACACACACACACACACACACACACACACACACACACACACACACACACACACACACACACACACACACACACACACACACACACACGGTGTACAGATGACTCACTGTTCTGGCCATGACGCCGGACATCCATGACCAGGCTGCCCTCCTGCAAAGCCTCCTCCATGCAGGACTTCCAGGCTGTGTAGCTCATTTCTGCCACCTTGTGCCCGTTCACCATTAGCACCTCATCCCCCACCTGAAGCTGGCACATCTCAGCCGGGCTACCTTAAAAGAACATAAAGGTCAGGGGTCAGCAAAGGAGCATTTACTCACATTACCGTCAGAACTTTTGTATTTTCTAATTAAATAGAAAAATAAGAAAATGTAATTATTTCTGCAATATTTGATGGCTTCTTTGATATTTTTTCTCCCAGTTCATCTTGTTTGTTTTCATGTTTAATGTTTTCTGTTCAGCATTATATTTTAGAGACTCGCTTAAGTAAGGCAGCTGACCATGATGGCCTACTTACAGAATTTGTGATAAATTAGCATCGTTTGCTTTCACAAAAGCATAAAACTACATGAAACCTGGATAAAATTTCATGCAAATGACTAAAACACAGCCGTGTGAAGCTGGTATGAGACATTATCAGTATTACTAAAACACACAGCCTTGTGTGTGGTGCAGTAGGAGAATCTCAGTAGGAGAGGCTCAGGCCCAGCAGATCTGACCCAGATTGATGCTGTCCTACATAGGTCTGGCATCATCACTGCAACGGACTCGAAAGCCTGCTGACAACCAACAAGCTGCATTTAAATGGGAGATAAACCAGATCCAGAGTACTGGTCATCAATATCACCCTGCAGACCAAACGAATGCATGATCGTTGTTGACTCGCTTTAGTAAAATGCAAACATCTCTGCATGAGTTGAGTCTGAAGGTAAGTTGTGTTAGTACCTGGTTGAATGGAGGTGACCCGAGCGCCTGTTGAGTCCCAGGCTGCATGAAAACCAAAGTCTCTGCTGCTGTTGGGCTTCTGGTTGAGGCTAATACGCATGTCACAAAAGTTCTTCTAGGAACAAAACACAGGTGAGGAGAGCATGTGCTTCCATCCTGACGCTGGGACAAATAACTGAGCCCCAGACATGGCTGGACTCCTTCACAACCACTACAAAATACCTTGCTAGTTTCTTTGGCTGGAGCAGAGCTGACAGGAGCTTCAGTCTTCACGTCAGACGAAGCAGATGAGACGCTCGGATTTGAGGTGGAGCTTTCTGATTTGGTCTTCTCTTCCTCCTCTTCTTCTTCACTGCTGTGTGCTGAGCTGGACAGAGCCTCGTCCTCAGAAGTCATGAACTGCTGATACCGGCTCGGTACCGAGGCCTTCTTAGAAACGTCTACATTTCCGTTGACACGCTTGCTGGTGTCATCCACCTGCAGAATGAACATCATGTGTCAAACAGCTTGTTGGAGGAACTTGAACAGTACTGGTGCTTCTCAACAACAAGGAGAAAATCTGGTGGATAAGAAATACCGCAGCTCTGACTCTACACTAAAAGAGGTTCCTGTCCTCTCGTGCTGCATTGCTGTAATAAATCACTGCAGTACTCACCGTGTAGGCTCTGGGAAGAGAGGCGATACGGGAGGACTGGCTCCCAAAGGGCCTCGGTGTGACAACCGAGGTTAGACGGGCGCCATTCGATATCTGGTAGCTCCTGGGGAGGGAGGCGGAAACCTGAGACACCCCAGGAGGTTTGGGCTCCATTGAGCTGAACTGTGGTGGTTTTTTCTGCAGAGAACCAGAGGAGGGGGCCTCCACCTTAGTCTGTGCGCCCAACAACAAAGGCTCGGGCTCAGGCTCCTCCTGCGTGGAGCTAGAAGAGGAGACGACACTTGTGGCCTCCTCTGTTTTGATGGCGTGTTCTTTGGCTTGACTCTTGTGTTCTGGTGCATCTGCTGGAGGGCTGGATTTGGTGACGGAGATGTGGTTGATAGGAGTGATGATGGTGGGGCTGCTGGCTGCAGGACTGTCCACAGCTTCTGCTTCCTGTGCAGTGGGAGGGGAGGCAGCTCTAAGAGTAGGCAGGGAGGCAGGAGGGGGTTCTTCAGCTCTCCGAGAGTACTCAGAGGAGTGGTAAGGAGTGTCAATAGTGGAGCTCCTAGGAAGGCGGTTTCTGGTGAATAAGGAAACAACAGGTGCATCAAATACTTCCTCGCTGTCACCTAAGAAAGAGAGCGATCCCAGACGGCTGCCGATGCTGCTCCTTCCTTTATTTTCTCTGTGGATTGAGACAAGAAATGAGGGCAAAATAAGTTGGGCTGCATCAGAGGCGGGTAACCCAAAAACTGAAGATGAATGAAGATGGCTGAAATCTGAACACAGAAAGAGATTCTTTTCCAACTACACATTCAAATAATACCATCTCCTCACCCACCCAATGATGGGGTTCTGTTTAAAAATGCACTAATTATCATACAAGCATTTTCTTTTATGACCTTAGCAAAGTTTTCCCCTCCGAGGGTACAAAATGTGCACAAGAGGGAAAAAGTCAGTATGCAGCATCAAAACCCCCATCATCCTCACAGCACCTGAGCCACCTGATCCAGGTGCGCTTCACCTCACCTCTCCTCTTGCACATCCTTGAAGGACTTGGACCCTCTGTCTGCGCCGTATGTAATCTGCTCAATCTTCTCTCTTTCTTCTTTCTTCTTCACTATATCAGAGTTCACACTCCGGCGTCTGTTTTTCCATTTGCTCAGGTCCTGCAAAGAAGAGTAAACCTCAGGTCACCTCATGCATCACATCTTAAACAGTTAAGCTAGATAAAGCAGACTGAGTGTCCTGCATCGCTAAGTGTGCAATTGAGGGGAGAGAAGTTAAGGAGAAAGCAAGACCGGGGGAGAAAGGGAGAGAGGACTACATTTGAAGGTGTTCTATTTGTGAGCCTTAAGCTCCTCCCTGTGCATTGGGGACTGAGTGACCTAAATGCTGATTTAAAACTTTTTCTTCTTGTAATGACATCAATCAGACACCTGCTAGGTATAACAACTAGTATATGCATCATGCATATGTGGAAATAAGTCATGCATTATTACTTACAGTCTTATTTAGGCAGATATTTAAGTGTTTAAGATGGACAAACTTTTATGTGAGATGACTTTATATGCAGAAAGCTTTTATTTTCTTTTAATCAGTTGCAGTTATTCTGCCCTTTGTCTGACATCCTCTTATTTAAGGACATGATTTCATCTGAACTTGAGCCAATTTAGGAAATTTGCACAAGACAGACAATAGCCAGAGGGCAGCACTGCACCAACTAGTTCCTGCATCTCTGTTTTCAATCTAGAGCGCTTCATTTTCTCCCTGCAGCCGTCTGCTGCACACATCTCATGCCTCACCTCACTTCAGCTGTATTTGTATTTCTGCATAGCCTTTTGTTTCTGTAAATAGTTCAGAAATCGGATAATACTCACATCCTGCCAGCGATCCTCACTGCGTTTAATCTGCTCACGATACTTCTGAAGCTCCTCAAAGCGATTCTGATGGAGAACTGGGGCATCCTCCAGGATATCGGATGTTGATTTACTCCTGAGAGAAGGAAAAATGTGAAACAAGTGCAAAAAAAAAAAAAATAAAAAATACGGGTTTAATATTCAAAACCGCTTAGACGACAAATCTAGCAGGTGTTGGGAAACGTCACACAGGAGGGAAACGTTAAAAAGTCCAATATTATTGATGAAACCATTCCAGATAAGCATGCACCACATTAATAAGTTTATGTTATAACAAGTTAGTTTGTATACACAGCACACAGGTCAGCTGAAAAACATATATAATAGGTTAGTGACACGCTGCTGTTCTCCCTCCATGATCATGCAAAAGTCTCACTGATGGAGAAAATCTGCTCATTGGACACGCTGCAATTTATGGCTACTGTATGAATCCTTTGGGTTTTTTTTCCATCCCCCTGACCCTTGACCTTGGCCCAGTGCCACACAATAGTCAGTGTTGCGTGTCAGCTAGAGTGAGAACAGCAGAACAAAAGCAGGAGGCAGCAGGATGCGACTGGAAGGCCAGAACCAATGTCCACATTCCTGAGAGCCAGCATCAACTCACCCATCCATACTCTCCTGTGTTTGGAGCTCTCTATGGAACCGGAGACAATCACAGACAATAAAGTCACATTTCTGCTCTTTTTACCTTTTAATTCGACAACATAGCTCTGGTCTAGAGCTTGAGATCAATTACAGGCTTTTGTAACAGCTCCGTCACAGCCAGTGTACATGATTTGGCCTGTCGTCTTCTTTAAGCACGTGTGTGTGTGTGTGTGTGTGTGTGGTACGCTCACATAGCTGCATCCCATTTCTATACCTAGACATTTAGCTGGGGGAGGTGTGCAGGACCCTAAACAATGCTGCCTTTCTGGAAACTCCAACATGTCGTCACTGGAAACCTGACTTTACACATCTGGGAGTGAAGTAGCTCCAGATGAGCTTGACTCGGGTTAAATGGTTGCCTTGTGTCCGTTTTTAAACACTTTACTCGTGCACTGATCTCTATGGAGTCACGCTTATTTTCAGATCTGTGGGGAATTTCTGTAGTGTCTGACGTTGGCATGACAACTCGCTTCAGTCCGGACAATAAAGGTGTTGGACTTGGATCGTTCCTCCTGCTGAGGAGGTCAGATCTGACACTTCAGTGTGAAGTATTTTTTCTGAGGGAATAACAAAGACAGACTAATTTTATCCACTGCAAAGTCACCAAGTTGCTCATATTTGTATTTATTAAGCAGATTTTTTTTTCAAATTTAAAATCATACACAAACTCAGTTTTGCAGGAAAACAGCAAATCATTTGGTCTGTGCGCGGTTTATGTCCACAAATCCAACTACACAGAGGTTTATTGAACAATCGGATAGTTCAAACCATGCATATATGATGTAAGATACACCACCGATTACTCAGATTATGTAAAATTTCCCCACATTTCATTTTCTGGTTTATGAAACACCAAAGAGACTATTTCCAAAAAAAAAAAGAACTTAAGCAGGTGAAATTTCCAGCTCTAACTGTGAGGATTCAACATCAAACAGGGAATATTTTAATGGTACATAATAAAAGGAGAAGCTAACAGCTAAAAGCTAGCTCCTTCTACAACTTGAGAGCCGCTAGCCTCTCCAACATGAGCCTCTTCTTGTATCTTAAGCGGCTGGCTTCTCTGATGGCCTGCCACTTCTGCAGGTCCTCTTTGCTACAGGATGATGGTACCGATGGAGACATGCGAGCAGCTGAAGGTTGGCTCTGATCAGAAAAAACTCCAAGTTTCCGAATCAGCATGTCATCTGTTTTAGGACACGCCTCCTTCTTAGCCTGACTCTGGTTAGCCGTTGCGGTTTTCTGATTCAGAGGACTTGGGGGGCAGACAAGTCTGGCTTTGAGCGCGGGGGGGAGCGCCCACGGCTCTGGGACGTGCATGGGGGTGTAGTTGTCTGGAGCTCCTGATGGTGCACGTTGCTCTAAAGCTTGTTGAATTTTCTCTTTACGACAAACAACGTCGTCCTCCTCGATGTCTGGATAATCTATTTCCTCACTGACTCCATGGCGATGCTGCTGGGTGATGATGTTGAGCTGCGGCTCAGACGTGTAGAGCCGGCGTTTAGCACTCAGCTGAGTCTTCATCATAGCCAGGTCCGTGTTGGACTGAAATGACAAGGTTCTCCTGGCAAACATGTCGTCGTTCTCCAAGTCGGGGTGAAGACTTTCATAGTCAATGGGATCTGGAGGCTCTCTGGGGTCTTGGCGCCCCAGGAGGGGCCACTTTTCACATTTAACCAGTTTGGGACCTGAGCTGGGGTCCACAGGGGCAAACACCACCGCAGGGGTTTCTAGGAACGGGGACTGTAACTTTGGGAGCTGTGGGAGTGTGTGTGGTTGGACATGAGGACTGCAGGGTGAGCAAAGGGAGAGAAAAGGACAGAAGTGATGAGTGCATGCATGTGAACTAGATCACAGAGCAAGAAGAGGAGAAAAAGGTACAAAAAAGCAGCTATTGTTAGGATTTTTGACTCAAATCAGACTTCAGATTAAATGAACACTGCAATGAAATAAAGCTGCTATAAAGTCAAAAAATGGCTGCAAGTAAACTAGAATACTACAGAGAAACAGCCTTTTTCTGACCAAAGCAAGCACGTTTCTTGTTAAAGCATGTTAAATCAACATCAGTAACTCAGCAGTGTCGTTTATTAGTAGCTTGTCAGAATTTCAGCCCTTTATGGGGCAAATCGTCAGCTTTGTCTAACATTGATGCTTCAAAACAATCCTGCATCATCACAGTCGTGCAGCTGTATCGACCTTTTCCCATCAACAAGGGTGGTCTGAGCCGAGGCCTCGTGTGTGTGGGCGTGAGAGGGAGGTGGGCCGTGAGGAGAGGGGGCTGAGGAGAGCCAGGGGCTGATGTCACACTCCGAGTCGTCTGACGAAGAGCCGGACTTCTGGCGGCTACTGCCGAGAAGAGCGGGACAGGTGAAGGGAAAGGGATGGAGCCACACAGAGGAGAGGGAATGCAGTTGTTGGAAAAGAGAAAGAAACATAAGTGGGAGGAATTTAGACAGCACAGAAGAAACCAGTGTACCACAGAATTGAAGATGTTTGGTTTTAATTGCATGCAATTATTTGGGAAAAATGAATGAAAGTAAGTGAGAAAAGAAAATGCAGTGATGCGTGTATGGGTAGGTCCCGGACATGCAGCATCCGAATCCCCTCACACACCTGAAACCCTGCATCTTCTTGTACCAGGGTCTCCTCTGAGAGCCCAGTTTGATCTTCTGTATGTGGTCGTCTTCCTCAGGAGTCCAAAACTTTGGTAAAAACTTGTTGTAGGACACGCTGCTCACAGGTTGGGGGTTGACCCCTATCTTGCGAGCATAGAGGTCATCTTGCACTGGATCAGCATAGCCCACCTCATCATCGTCCTCCTCAGAGTCATCATCATACATGTCCCTGAACAGGCTGTCCGTGTTCACGGCTCGGTGGTGGTCCACCTTCACAGAACTGTGCATGGGGGACTGAGTTTTCCAGCTTCTGCTGCTCAAGAGAGACAGCCAACAAGTGTCAAAATGATTATTTTAATAGCTGAGATGCTCACAAGACACACAGAAAATGAAGCATTTGTGTTGAGCACAACAACCTCAAATCAGATGATGCAAGGATTAGCAAACCAAAGCAAGCGCAAAGAAGAAAGCTGATTTGACGACTCAAATCGCAGAGGCGAATATGGATGCACCGCAGTTCAAATCGCTGAATGAATTGAACAAAAAACAAAAAAATCAAAGTGGTTGAAGCAATGTTAAGGGCCAAAACGAACAACAATCTCGTTCATGGTTGCAGTAACCATGCAAACCAAGGGTAAGAAGCTCTCATCAGATAAGCAAATCACAAGGCATCGATCCAATCTCTGACCTGTCGAAGGTCATGTTCTGTTGAGGGGCAACTCTGGGAGAGACAGAGACCTTGGACCCAGGTTTAACCCAAGCCACCCCTGCACCTGCCGAGGGACTGATGGGCATGGCGAAGTTGGTGGGAGGAGCCGGGGAGAGGCTGTGGAAGCGTCTGCTCGCCAGATCGTCTAGAACGAGATCAGGATCGGGTCGATCTGCGTCTGAGTCGCTGTCACTTCCACAATCGTAGCCCCACTGGTAGTGAGCTGCTGGAACGGCACTCTGGGTACTGTGACTGTGGCCGAGGCAGCGAGTGGAAATCGTTCCACAGCAAAAACGAAACACAAACACCACGAACCGTTCACAAACAACACAGTGATGAGAGCAGGAATGCAAAAACAGCCACCATGTAAACTTCCGACAAGGAGGAAGAGCCAGAAGTTTTTAATAACATGACAGACTGTTCAGGACTGGTTGGTGTACCTGGTGAGCGGGCCTTCATTCTCTGCGTAACTGAGGGTGGAGAGGCTGCGTCGGCTGTCCTCGCTGCGCTCAGCCCGTTTCTTCCTCAGCGGAGCGGGAACATAGCCTGAAGGTTTGTCCTTTGAAGGCAGGAACTGGTTAAACTGCGTGCTGGCTTTAGGCGTGATGACGAGCGACCGGCGGTAGCTGATGTTGTTTTGGTTGTTAGCCATCTTGAAGATGGAGTCTGCTTTGGTGTCGCTACAACAACCTGGACCAGCAAAGAGGAGAGGAACGCAAATGTTTGTGAGATGGAAAAAGGTGAGAGAGGACAACAGATGCACATGGAAAGAACACAAACACGGGTTTGTGTGTGTGAGACTATGGAGAAGTAACCAAGGGGCGCAGGGTGCAGAACAGAGGCCTCTTCATTTACAAGCTGCTGCGGTTGGGTGTGGAATTTCTCACCCGTTACAGACTAAAGGGCTGTCCTCCATAAAACTACACCTCGGGATCACTCCAGCCTTTATTGATTTAGTTTTTCTTGATTTCAGGTTGGAGAAAAATTTCTTTTGACTGATGATTTAATTGCAAAAGCACACCACTAGATGGCAACTTGACTTTCCTTTCCAGGAGGCACAAATACTAGATCAGCTGGATCAAAGATACTCATAAAACACACAGAAGACAGGAGTTAATGTGCTCATGTCTACACGTTCTACCATACCCTCACTGCTGCCTTTCAGAGTGGTGTCGGAGGAGATGCTGTGGGGTCGGGAGCCCACGGAGTCCAAGCTGTCCAGGGAGTCGTCTCTCCTGTGTCCTCCACTTTCTCCACCTCCTCCTCTCAGATGGTGAAGCTCCTCTCTCTCTGAGCACCAACTATCCCCAAACCCACTGTCTCTGATGCTGTTGCCCTTCTGGCCGTCTGATTCTTGCAGAGCCTTTCCAGACAGAAACACAGACTAGTCACACATTTAGGTTAGAAGGTACTAGTTTGTGTGTGTGTGTGTGTGTGTGTGTGTGTGTGTGTGTGTGTGTGTGTGTGTGTGTGTGTGTGTGTGTGTGTGTGTGTGTGTGTGAAATTGGTTTTCTAACCCTTGCAGCCTCTGTTACATTCCTATAAGGGCCATACGAGGTGATGCATGGTGACATTCACTAGGAATACACTCATTATTTTTTCTCCTCTTCAAAAACAAACACCCTGGTGCCATCACACCCTTAATGACTGTTTTCACCATGAGAAAATATCGCCTTTGGACAGACCAGAGAACCTCAGAGCCACCCTGAACAGAATGGCATCAAACAAGCCAAAACGTGTCAGCCACTTAAAAAAGAAAACAAATCTCAGTTCTGTAATCTGCACAATCCCACCAGACAATACAAGTCCACAAATTAAAGCCAACCTAAACCCCGAGCCACTGAACTTGGATTAACGTGGCTCAAACATACAAAATGAGCTCCAACCAACTGCTATTACTGACAATCCCTGAAGTCAGTTCAATTACAGAGGACTGGCACCCAAACCTTTAAATCAACATGAACACAAAGCGCCAAGTTCAACACTGGCACATGCTTGGAGGGGGTTCTTCTCTCAAGAAAAGCAGCAGCTATTTTAACACGAGAGCTATGCAGACTGCAGTAAACAAGATTAAAATAGCCGAGTTAGGGATCGGGTCATTTGTGACAACTTATGTTTTGGAGGCCAGCGTGCTGCAGCCCCTCGATCTTTCTGCAGTCCCTCCTCTACACATAATCCACATACCGGGGGGATTCAGAAGCTCGTGTGCATAGAGTGTAAAAGAGGACTTGAATATGTGCCAAAACATATGGATAGGACACCTTAAACAGTAATCACCTTGTACAGCGCTGTGCCCAATAATCCCTCAAACGCCTTCAAATTCAGGTAAGGCCCATTATAGAGACGATCAAACTGAGCCCGTCTACCAAGCCAGAAAATGGTGATTAAAACCTGGAAATGAAACAGGGAACAGTTTAATAAACACAATTCAACAAGAAAATTATTTACACAGAAGCACACATTAAAATGGTAGAATCATCCCTTGATCCTGAGTGACCTGCTGCACCAAAAGCAAGCAACGGCTATGATATTGGAAATCTGCTGGATCAGCCTTATCTAGAAAACACAGCTGCTGTGTCTGCACGCATCAACAGGTGGGACAGGTACTGTAAATATAATGTACCAAAGCAAAGAATAAACAATTAAATAAATAAATAAAAGGTTTGAGCTCTGCTTTAATGCAAACAAAAAGTGTATCTTTTTTAGCCTAAATAAACAAACACAGGAGTTTAGATTTGAATATTTTAGTGATTCTTTTTCTAGACGACTTCTAGTAAACTCACAAAACACTCACATTTTTCAGCCTCCTGTTGGTCTCCTGATGCCTGCGAGGAAAAGATGAGAAAATCAGTGTTTGAGTATGAGAGAAAACAACCAAACAGGAACAGAGGGTGTTGTTGGTGGAGCTTTATGTGTGGGACAGTGAAAGAGCTGGAAACTGAGAGCAAAATCCAGACTACTGCCTGCCAGCCACACACACACACACAAAAAAAATATTCTAACTAGATGTATGAACTTGGGTCATGAGATGTTTCGTGTTGTAATTTCCACTGGTGACACAACCCACCCTAACCTTAACCCATTCGCCAGAGGTCAAAATTCACCTTCCAGATACAAAAACGTCAACTAAACATCCTGATCTGACCCTCACCTTCTGTGCACTCCAACAAACATGGCTACTGTGTGTTTACAGATGTCAGCGCAGAAGGATGAAGGGCTATAATAGATGTACCGGTGTCAGAAATGAGATTTACTACCTGGTTTATACCTCATGCATCCTACACATTCCTGCCATAGTGATGTAACACAATAGCAGCACCTTCCTTCACTTGTGAGAACTCAGAGTTCAGGCGATGTGAGAAATAAAGCCTGATAACAACTCGTAAAGTCTCTGACAGAATAATCGTTTGAGCATTAGTCATCATCACCAAGTTCAAACTTTAAGGCTTTTACAAGTGTTCACATAAATTACGACCGAAATCTCACATCCACAGCTAAACTAAAGCTACAAGTATATATATATATATAAGTATATATATATATATATATATATATATATATACACACACACACACAGTGGGGCAAAAAAGTATTTAGTCAGCCACCGATTGTGCAAGTTCTCCCACTTAAAATGATGACAGAGGTCAGTAATTTACATCATAGGTACACTTCAACTGTGAGAGACAGAATGTGAAAAAAAATCCATGAATTCACATGGCAGGATTTTTAAAGAATTTATTTGTAAATCAGGGTGAAAAATAAGTATTTGGTCACTTCAAACAAGGAAAATCTCTGGCTCTCACAGACCTGTAACGTCTTCTTTAAGAAGCTTTTCTGTCCTCCACTCGTTACCTGTATTAATGGCACCTGTTTGAACTCATTATCTGTATAAAAGACACCTGTCCACAGCCTCAAACAGTCAGACTCCAAACTCCACTATGGCCAAGACCAAAGAGCGTTCGAAGGACACCAGGACAAGAATTGTAGACCTGCACCAGACTGGGAAGAGTGAATCTACAATAGGCAAGCAGCTTGGTGTGAAAAAATCAACTGTGGGAGCAATTATCAGAAAATGGAAGACATACAAGACCACTGATAATCTCCCTCGATCTGGGGCTCCACGCAAGATCTCATCCTGTGGGGTCTAAATGATCATGAGAAGGGTGAGCAAGAATCCCAGAACCACACGGGGGGACCTGGTGAATGACCTGCAGAGAGCTGGGACCACAGTAACAAAGGTCACCATCAGTAACACACTACAGCGGCAGGGAATCAAATCCTGCAGTGCCAGATGTGTTCCGCTGCTGAAGCCAGTGCATGTCCAGGCCCGTCTGAAGTTTGCCAGAGAGCACATGGATGATACAGCAGAGGATTGGGAGAATGTCATGTGGTCAGATGAAACCAAAGTAGAACTTTTTGGTATAAACTCAACTTGTCGTGTTTGGAGGAAGAAGAATACTGAGTTGCATCCCAAGAACACCATACCTACTGTGAAGCATGGGGGTGGGAACATCATGCTTTGGGGCTGTTTTTCTGCTAAGGAGACAGGACGACTGATCCGTGTTAAGGACAGAATGAATGGGGCCATATATCATGAGATTCTGAGCCAAAACCTCCTTCCATCAGTGAGAGCTTTGAAGATGAAACGTGGCTGGGTCTTCCAACACGACAATGATCCCAAACACACCGCCCGGGCAACAAAGGAGTGGCTCCGTAAGAAGCATTTGAAAGTCCTGGAGTGGCCTAGCCAGACTCCAGACCTCAACCCCATAGAAAATCTGTGGAGGGAGTTGAAAGTCCATGTTGCTCGGCGACAGCCCCAAAACATCACTGCTCTCAAGAAGATCTGCATGGAGGAATGGGCCAAAATACCAGCTACTGTGTGTGCAAACCTGGTAAAGACCTATAGTAATCGTTTGACCTCTGTTATTGCCAACAAAGGTTATGTTACAAAGGATTGAGTTGAATTGTTGTTATTGACCAAATACTTATTTTCCACCCTGATTTACAAATAAATTCTTTAAAAATTCTGCCATGTGAATTCGTGGATTTTTTTTCATATTCTGTCTCTCACAGTTGAAGTGTACCTATGATGTAAATTACTGACCTCTGTCATCATTTTAAGTGGGAGAACTTGCACAATCGGTGGCTGACTAAATACTTTTTTGCCCCACTGTATGTAGCATAAGAGATTTAAGATTTAGACTCAGAAGAAAATGGTTCCTGCTCCTCTTCACTGAGATCACAGGTGTCCAAACGCCTACCAGGGATGTTTGCACAGAAAGTTCAGGAACATTTGCTTTGATTCTCCTCTGTGTTGAGATCAGGCCAGCCCTGGGGTCACGTTATTGCATAGAGACGCTTTGTTGTCAGAAGAAAAGAATGGACACAATCACCAGCAAATTCTTGAAGCACACATCATGACGATAGTATAATTAGTCAGATTACACCTTATTTCAACAACTGACTACTGAAATAGGCACACTTAACAGCATGTAACAGACCACACTCCTGATTTTTTATTTGATTTTACCCCTTTTTTCAGATTTCAGCTTTTCCTGGACCACCTCACACCAAACCTTCCTAACACGGTAATTTACATTCAGTAAAAATTAAAGTGAACGTTTCCATTACATTTGGGCTCAATAAAGCAAGGAAGGAGGGAAAGAAAGGAAAACACAGCGTGTGGTTTTAAGCACAGCTGCAGAGATTAGCTCAGTCCAAACAGAAATAAGCTGTTTGTGAAGAATAACAGAGCATCGATGCTCTGAAGAATGGAAAAGGAGACTAAAATGGTCGTTTTTAAAAACCTCTGGTGCCTCAGGACCTGCTGGAATCAGCTGAGTTTTCATATGATTCAGGAAAGTCACTGACTAATCTTCACTGGAGGCCGATTTCTGTACAGATGTTTCCAACTCGCACTCTGAAGCTCGGTAATCAATCTCACAGGGTAGCAAGGATGAAAGGACTATAATTGGTATTTGAATTTTGCAATCAGAAAACAGGTAAAAAACAAAAGAAAAAAGTGTGGATTGTTAGCAAAATGTCTCGGGAGCCTCTGGACAGATGTGCTAAAATTAGATGTTACTCTAACGACTGAACAAGATGACAACATGGGTGTCTGTCCCCCTTTTTGGGGTGACTGAGGACCCCTAAAATCAATATTTTTACTGCATGTGCTTTTTTAAAACACAAGTAAAATATGGCTTTGTTATAACAAAAAAATAAAATAAATAAATAAAGTACAGCCCCAATGCAAAAGAGATCGTCATTGATTGGCTGGCTGACTGCTGCACAGACAAACAGATGCCCCGTAGATTGGCACTGTCTATTGGACCTTTTGTAGTGGCCGGTCGCCATCTTAGATGGGTCTCCATTCACCCCCAGTGTATTATTTTCCACAGAGGAAGGTGTTCACCCAACAAAAATACACTTTATTACGCCTTTTCACTAAATCAGACATGTTGTGTGTTATGATCGTTAAAATATAAACATAATTGCATAACAACATTTAAATATAAAATCCAGGTAGCCTATAAAAGTCCCATGTGATCTGTTTTCAAAAGTGCGCCGATTGTTGCAACCTTAGGCTGCACAAAAAAACTGGCATGTTTGCTCACTCTGTGTTGACAACAGTTGGGTTTGAAGAGTGAGGAACACATCCAATATGGCAGCAATGCTGTTACACTCATGCCTGTTGTCTGCTGCACCACATTCATTCCAGCATTTTGATTGGTCAAGGCAATGGAAGTCCTCCGAACTGCAGAAGCATGCAAGATAAACAAATGTCTTGCTATTTAAGGAATGTTTTTCTGAGGTTTCATGATAATCATAATCCCAAATTAAATCCAACAATGATGTTATGTTCTTGCCAAAGTTTATTGGTTAGCCTCTCTGAAGAAGCTTACATTGATTCCTATTTCTGGTTTCTGATTAGAAAAGGGCAATTCCAGACTATTTTACCACTCCGTTGAGCATCTTTAATCTGCTCCTACAACACCTAGACTCTTCCAACCTGGATTATTCTATGCTAAAAGTAGAATCCGTAAAACATAGTTTGGTATTTATTTAAAAAATAGCTTTTCTTTGACAAATTTGGGAATTAAATTTTGTTAAAAAGTATAAATCTGTGATATTCATCTTACATGGCTGGGCAGCTCTCTGGGTGATCCTATCGCCCCTGCATGAGAATATGCATGATGTCTACTTCAAAACTAAACCAAAGGATTATTTCTCAGAATAATTTGACCGTTAAAACTCTGGCGTCAAAGGAGGTGTTTTTTCTGGGGGGTAATAGGGGACACTGCTGATAATGGCCGATTAGACAATAGGAGACAAAGATCTGACAACAGTTCAGGCTAACAAATCCAGAAAATGACCTCATCTTTCCTTCAGGCTGTTCCTTTGAAGCCCTCACCTGAGTCTTCACATGATTACCCAGATGTTTACACCCCAATATGGACGAGGTTAAAGAATAAGACCTCATCAATTTTATCAGCTCCAAAGGTATCCTTCTCTAAAACACATTGGGGTCACATAAGGGCCACTTAGCTGCACAGTCAGGGTAAATGTATGAAATAAAACTGCTAAAGCAAAGAAAATCACATTTGATCAAACTGGCTTTGATTTTACATGAAGGAGCAACAATTTATTCCATCAAAAATGTAAAAAAAAACCTAATAATCTCAAAAGTTCTTATCTGCAGTAACAGAGGTAGAAGGAGACTAAGATTTACAGCAAATCCTGCAAACCTTCAACACAACATTACAAAAAATATAGAAAAACTCACCAAAACAAACCGTCAAATCCTTAAACGAATGGATGT